AAGAGTTTATACAGTACACCCAAACAATCAAGAATGCTATTATCTACGAATGTTATTGTATATTGTCAGACGTCCAACTTCATTTGAAAAATTAAGAACAGTAAACGGTATCGTATATCCAACATATCAAGCAGCATGTTTAGCTCTTGGTTTATTAGAAAATGATAATCACTGGCACGATACATTAGCAGATGCCACGATAAGCAGCAGTGCGTCTAAGCTGCGCGAATTATTTGCTATCATATTGGTTTTTTGCAATACTTCTTATCCACTAGAATTATGGAATAAGTTCAAAAGTCACTTTATAGATGATTTTAGAAGAAATCTTGAACGTCAATACCCAGATGCTGATAGAAATTCTTATATTGATGATATAACTAATCGTGCACTTCTTGCATTACAAAACGTAGTACTGTCAATAGGTGGAAACACCATTGATCATTATGGTTTACCATCTCCATATTTAGTTGACGAATCTATTAATACATTAAATAGAGAATATATTGAGCAAACTAATTTCAATCCAATTGAACTTCAACATACGATAAATAATAATGAACCAAAATTAAATAATGAAAAAAATCAAATCTATCAACTTGTTATCGAAAAAGTAAATACAAATGATGGAGGTGTATATTTTTTAGATGCTCCAGGTGGTACTGGTAAAACATTTTTCATTAACCTTATATTAGCAAAAATACGCTCAGAGAAGAAAATTGCTATAGCGGTAGCATCATCAGGAATAGCTGCAACTCTTCTTCCCGGAGGGAAAACAGCCCATTCTATGTTCAAGATTCCTATAGAAGTTATCCATATGGAAAATCCAGTCTGTGGTATATCAAAAAATAGTTATAAAGCCAAAGTTTTACAAGATTGTGTTTTTGTTGTGTGGGATGAATGCACTATGGCCAACAAAGTATCTATTGAAGCAGTGAATAGAACAATGAAAGACTTAAGAAATAATAATCAATTATTTGGTGGAGTAGTATTTTTATTTGCAGGAGATTTTAGACAAACATTACCAGCTAAAGGCACACGAGCAGATGAGGTTAATGCATGTTTGAAACGTTCAGTACTATGGAATAATATCGAGAAGCTTCATCTAAAAGAAAATATGAGAGCACAATCCAGTGGCGCAGAATTTTGTAAAATTCTCCTAGATATTGGCGAAGGAAAATATACAGAAATAAATTCTAACCACGACATTGAAATCCCATCTGCTCTCTGTCATGTCGTTGCCGATACTCAAACTTTAATATCAGATATTTATGACGATATTCACAATCTAACCTCCAAAGAAGATTCGTGGTTGTGCGAGAGATCTATATTAGCACCAAGAAATGATCGAGTATCGTTACTTAATACGCTTATAATGGAAAAGATTCCTGGCAATTCAACAACATATTTATCTATAAACACAATATGTCAATCAGAACAAGCCGTGCATTACCCGGTAGAATTTTTAAATAGCATAAACACACCTGGTCTTCTACAACATCAAATAGATTTGAAAATTGGTATTCCTATTATGCTACTGCGAAATTTAAATCCACCAAAACTCTGCAATGGAACGAGATTACGAGTAATTTCTCTACAAAAAAATATCATCGAAGCAGTAGTTATGACTGGTTATGGTAAAGGCGAAACAGTATTTACACCTAGAATACCTATCATCCATCAAATTATCCATTTCAATTCAAAAGATTACAATTTCCAATTAATGTTAGCTTTGCAATGACAATTAATAAATCGCAAGGTCTAACTTTAAAGAAAACTGGTATTGATTTGAGTCAAGGATGCTTTAGTCATGGACAATTATATGTTGCATGTTCACGTGTAAGCGAAGCCTCAAATATTGTTATGTTAACAAATGATAACTGTACACCTAATATTGTTTATAAGAAGGCATTATAATAAGTTTATTATAATCATTTTTGAAGTTTTTATAAGTTTATTTATATATATCCTATCTATTTGTTTTTATTTTTATTGTTTTTATGTTTTTATTTAAATAGCATATAGATTTAATTGAAAGTGAAAAAATTTATATTTTATTTTGTAAATTGTATAGATTATTTAAGTTGTGTAATACGTATCTCTAAAAAACACGTTTTAACTTATACTTAATTGTTTAATTTATTCATAATAAAAAACAAAATGCGTACCATTGATGAATACACATAGAATTTTTCTTTATTATTACAAGGTAGTACATATCGTTAATTGTTCATTTAAACTATTAAATCATAACTTATTCATAAAAATTGGATAGTTCTAATTCGGACAAAGTCGCGGGTTTCAGCTATAGGTAATAGTTTTACGAACGATTATGCATCATTTGTATTGAAATTGACACGGACTAAATATGAATGTCACGAATTTTGGAGAGATTATTCAAGGATTTGCAACAACGCAGACGAAGTCGCGGGTATCAGCTAGTATTTAATAAAATTGAATCAACTGAATAACAAAATCTACCACACGACTGAGATAGAGCAAAAAGTATGTTCACAGTAAAGTTTTTAAACGAAGTATGAACTAACGAATTACCAGATTAATATGTTCGGTATGAATTCTATTGTAGAAGTGATTTATATAATACATTCTACAATATATTGCTCATACGAAATTGTGACTATATGATTACAGTACATTTGATGCATAATTTTACCCGCGTAAAAATTTTAACGGAATGTCATTATGAAAATATTCATTCAAATTTTTTTACAAAGTAAAATATTTTGTATTATAATATGACAGTTCTAAAGTTGTTAATGAATTTGTAAAAATATATTGGATCAGTTTTTTGAGGCAAAGACTGAAACTTCACTACAAGGGTCTTATGTAATGTAAATCTCATTTTCAGTTTTACTGAGATTAATAAAAAGTATTTGTAATATAAAACGTACTCGCATCGAGTCAACTAATTCTACAAGAAAACCTTTTAATTGACAATCTAATCATTTTAATATAGTCAAGTTATGTTCACATTTTCCTGCTGGCTTTTGATTTAAGAATAAGCAATTTTAATGATCATAAGCAAAAGAAGGAACTTCGAACAGAAGTCATTACTGCAAACGTAAATTTGGCTCTTGTAAAACAAATATCAGGCCAAATGGTTTAGTGGGGACATCAAAAATTAATTGGCCCAAAGCATTTTCGTACAAAGAGATGTTGTCAAATCACACGAGAAAACCACACATATGTAACCTATCTTATTGTGTTTCAAAATGATACACAATTTTATTAGTTGACTGAAAGCAGACTCTTTCCTATCAACCACCACTCATCATTTCGAAGCTAACATTTAATTAATGGCCAGAAAGATTTGCTTATGTATTTAGTTAATTGTGCTCGTAAACGATTTCGAAAGAAATAAAAGATATTTGCATATACTTATTAAATCATTCACAGCGACCTTCGGCTAATTTATTTGCTTTATTTCTTCGCTTTGTATCTTTTCATTATTTCCTTGCATTATTTATTTAAATTATTTGAGTATCCTTTTAATAATTAAATAAGATAATTGATTACGAGAGGAGAGGATTACGCTTTATCATTTAATGAATAATTGCGTAATTGGAAAAGTCATAATTGACAAGGTAACAACTAATTAGTGATTACTGAACCTTGAGCACATCGATTTTGTAAGAAGAATTGTTGTTCTGGTAATTGTTATTTGTAGCACTAGAAACCAAAGAAATGTGGTAGAAAACTTCACATTGAAACGGCAATTAATTTCAGCATAATTACTGTATTATTATCAATTCGTTGGCAACACTTCAAGCTCTTAAGCTGTAAATTTTTGGCTGTATACATTTGTGTTTTTATTTTAAAAAATTCCTGAAGTTTAATTGATTTTTTTACCGTGTAAATGTGCTGGACTGACTGGCAGAATCTTAGATCCTATTCTCGACTGTAAGGGGTTGCGTTGGTCCTGTTTAAATTGTAGATCTATTGAAATCGATCTATTTAAAGTTTATAGGGAGACACGCAATGGCTTTAACGAAATCGGTCGTGATCTTATAACGCTCACTGAAAAATTTAGGCACTTTGAAAAATTGTTCAAATCTTTTAAGTGCCTGAATGATTCTCACGAATCCTCTAAACCTGCTCCTAAGCGTAAACGTCCTTCCGATGAAGTAACACTTAGTTCTTCTGTTCAGAAAAGAACGTCTCCTCCCAATGACCTAATAAATCTCTCTTCTCCTTGCCCTCAAGGTGATAAGCCGTCAACTTCCAAAGAGCTCAATTCCCCAAAAGCTCTATCTAATAGTAATAAGTGTCTCACAATTCCAGAGGCTCCCCCTATTAACTTAGTAGCATCAGTTAATAATTTGATAGTTATTCCACCTAAAAAGTCTATATTTATTTCGAGACTTGCCAAAGATACCTTGGCGGAGGACATTATATCTTACATTTCGTCACGTTTAAAAATAGATGATATCAATATACGTAAATTCAACTTCAATTATGATAGAAGTATATCATCGTTTCAAATAGACGTATCTCTTGAAACATTCAAAAAGATCTTAGATAGTTCATTCTGGCCACCTGGGGCTTTTGTACGCGAATTTAAACCTAAACTTAGAAGTCAAACTGAGGAAAACATTGTTAAATTACCAAAAGCAACCACCGATATAAAAAGCTGATTGGTAGAAATTCGCTAAGCATTTATTATCAAAATGTTAGAGGTCTTAATACAAAATTAACTGACTTATATTTGAACAGTTCCAATTTTAATTTTCATATAATTGGATTTACAGAAACTTGGTTAAAACCTCACATTTTTGATAATGAGATTTTAAACAGCGAATTTCAAATTTTTAGATGTGATCGACTGATCAGAATCGGTGGAGGTGTTCTATTTGCCGTGCATTCCTCTGATCATCTGAAAATATTCTTGTTCCAGGGACCGACTCATTTGAATTTAAATGTATTAGAGCAGTGTTTTTCAATCTGTGGGTCGCTAAGGAGGTCGCAAAGCCTTACTCGGGGGGTCGCCAGCTGAAAGAAAAAGTCGAGGTTCTTACACAACAAAAACACAATTTTAATGAGAAAGATATGCTTGTTTATTTTTCATTAATTTATCAAATTGTGGTGTTATTTTTGAAACATTAATAATTTAATCATTTTCTAATTGCAATCTATTTCTCTTTTTAGTTTTAATGTCTACCATTGAAGAAAATGTCAGTATGAAGTGGCGAATGGCACTAATAATTTAAGAGCTTCCCTTGCCAGCTCTGGATATTCGTGTTTTATTTTCATCCAAAATACGTCGACAATTTGCGAATATAATTCCATTTTAAGCATGCCATCAGTAGCTAATTCTAGAAGACATTCTTTCATTTTTGTGTTGACATCAGCCAGATTTATTGATTTGTCCAAAAAAGGGCTTAAAATCCATCTACACCCATTGTCAGCTTCAGAGTGCAAGTCTGGAAAGTATGTCAAAAGTTTATCTTGTAAATTATTCAAGCTTTGTAACATGCAAGGAATATGAGCCGATACTGCAAAACTTTGGTCTGATGCATTATCTTCAACAATCTTCTGAGCACACGGAAAAGACTCAAACATTTTGTTTTGCAGAGAGGTCGACCACAAACGAAGTTTTGCGTGAAATGCTTTTACTTTATCTTTAGCTGTTAAAATCTTTTCTCCTCTTCCTTGAAGGTTCTTGTTCAAATTGTTTAGGTGGCTGAAAAGATCTGCCAAAAATGCTAATTTCAAGAGCCAAATAGGGTCAGAAAAACGGTAAGCATATTCTGATTTTGCATCTTTATCCTATCCTTTGGATAGCCACCTGATCTCTGTGTGATAAAGGAGATTTTGATGAAGCGAGCCCATATCTTCACAAACGATTCTGAATAGCCGGGTTTGCAAAGCTTTACCTTTGATAGAATTCACAATTTTTATGCCTGAAAATAAACCAAACAATATACAAGTGAACAGTCAATAAAAATGAAGGACGCGGAACCTTTGCACACCGAAATTAAGTATAATCAAAAGTTGTATACAAATAACAAAGAAATAAACTCCAACAGTAAAAATATAGTATAAAACAAGTAAGGAAGGGCTAAGTTCGGATGTAACCAAACATTTTATATTCTCGCAAAGTCAAATGGTATACTCGTTTGAGATTTCTTTGTGGATTGGCTGATATTTTCGGTAGAAGGTCAACTATAGGCACTGGGGTCCACATATTTAGTACTTAGGGGCTTGAACAGTTTTGGTTCGATTTAGACAATTTTTGGCCACAAGGTGGCATACTTTAATCGCATCATTCACGCAAAGTTTTATCCCGATATAATCATTGTTGCCTGATTTGCATAGTGGAAAGTGAAAGAATCAGATGGAATTGAAAATGGTGTTATATGGGAAATAGGCGTGGTTGTAGTCCGATTTCGCCCATTTTCGCACTATAACATAGAAATATGAAAAGAACGTCATGCACCGAACTTGGTTGAAATCGGTTAAGCACATCGCAAGATATGGGTTTTCCCCTAAAAGTGGGCTGTGCCACGCCCACTGCCTAATTTTGAACGCGGTTCCTATAAAGTCATCTCATACCATTCCAGAGATAAAATTTAATGTCTCTGGCGTGTTTAGTGCTTGATTTATCACGCTTTTAGTAGTTTTAAACAGTACCGTTATATGGGGAATGGGCGGAGTTGCCACCCGATTTCAGCTATTTTCACACCATCAATAGAAGTGCTAAAAACATTTGCTTCCAGTGAATTTTGTTATAATAGCATTAGCGGTTTAGGAGATATGCACATTAAACCTATTACAGGCGGGACCACGCCCATTTTAAAAAAAATATTTGAACTGCAGATGCCCCTCCCTAATGTGATCCTGTGTACCAAATAACAGTCTTGTATCTTATTGCGGAGCTTAGTTATGGTAATTTATTTGTTTTTGATTAATGGCGTTTTGTGGGCGTGGCAGTGGTCCGATTACGCCCATCTGCAATACCAACCGTCTCACGGTACCAAGAAACATGTCTACCAAGTTTCATAAAGATATCTCAATTTTTACGCAAGTTACAGCTTGCACGGACGGACGGACAGATAGTCACCCGGATTTCAACTCGTCTCTTCATCCTGATCTGATGATTATATATATAATATATAACCCTATATCTAACTCGATTAGTAGTTAGTTTAGGTGATACAAACAACCGTTAGGTGAACAAAACTACTATTGTGAAAAAAGGGTGGGGCGCTTTTTAAGAACTGATTTATAGTGCACCCCACGCTTTTTTCATTATTCTCTTACTTACCTGAATTATAGTATTTTGCTGCTGACTAAGAGCTTTCAACTTTTGTTCAAAGAAATCCAACGGCTTATCAGCTTCTTTTTGATGCTTGGTTGTGAGATGCCGCATACGCTTTGACGGTTTCATACTCTCACGTAATAAAATATAGCCGCATATTACACATTGATGTTTATTATTTACGACTGTGAACCCGTATTTCAAATAACTGTCATCATAATGTCTATTTTTTTTCGGATTCGATTCACCACCACCGCTATTGATACTCGTACCAGATGTTGAAGGCTGCGATCTTTTGAGAAATTTATCCATTTTATATTTTTATGAACTCATGGACGACTACGCTTAACTGAGTGATGAGAGTTGAAACAAAAGAACATTGCGGGTGGCGCGCGCAGGACGCTTGCTGTTACGGCAACGACAATCATGTCTTGCGGTGTGGCAACGTCGCCGTCGCCGATGCAGTATGACCCGCGCGAATAATAGATAAATTTGCCAAAATAGGAAAAACTTATTACCTAACGTATGTAGTCTTTTAATTAAAATAAAATTATTTCTTTGACTTACTATGACAGAAGGGGGTCGCCAGAATATTTCAACCTGTAAAGGGGTCGCGAAATCAAAAAGATTGAAAAACACTGTATTAGTGTATACGTTAATAGTTGCTTTATTTATTTAACCCTATCTTATATACCACCCCATTCGGACTTATCTGTATACATGCAGCATGCTTCTTTAATAAATAGTGCTACCTCGATGGCAAATAATGCAGATTCAATAATTGTATTAGTTCATTTCAATTTACCGTGTGCTTCGTGGAAACCTTTCGATGACTATATCGTGCCGATTTGCAATCGGTCATGTTTTAATGAGTTTTTCGAAAAAATGTCCGAGTTGGGTCTGAACCAAATTAATTTGATTCCGAATAAATTTGGTAAATGCTTAGATTTAGTATACGTTGATACCTCTGCAAAGTGTTCCGTTATTCAGAGTAATCCTTTGGAAATATCTGTCGAAATCTCAGGCATTGTACGGGATAATAATCATCAAACTTCGTGCTTCTGTACTCGGTTTAACTTTGCAAAAGCTAATTTTAAAAAGTTAAATACAGAACTTTCTACAATAACATGGCCTAATTATAATGGTGACATTGAATTGACTGTCTGTCATTTTAATAACATTATTATGAAATTATTTGAAAAGTATGTTCCAATAGTAATTGTTAATAAAAGCAAAAGTATAAGTCCGTGGTTTTCGAAAGAGTTATATAAATTGAAAAACAGAAAAACTCGAGCCTTTAAACATTTTAAAAAAACCGGTTCACTTGTCGACTATTCTAAATATTCTCTATTGCGTCGACAATATTTTGACCTAAACAAAAAATGTTATAATAATTACTTAAACAAAGTAAAAAAAATATTGTAAGTAATCCAAAATCGTTTTATGATTTCGTCAACTCCAAACGCAGGATTTCCAAATTTCCGTCCGCAATGAAATACAAATCTATCATTTCAAGTGACAATGATATTATATCCAATATGTTTGCAGAATTTTTCAAGTCAAACTACTGTAATAATTCTTCCAAAACTTTTTGTTATCAGCAAGTGCTGTGTTCGAATACTTTAATTAACGCTCCAATTATTTCTGAAGAAGACGTCCTATTTAATTTAAATAAGTTAAAACCATCTTTTAGTTATGGCGCAGACATGATACGTCCTATTTAATTTAAATAAGTTAAAACCATCTTTTAGTTATGGCCCAGACATGATACCCTCATGCTTCCTAAAAAATAGTGCCAAATATATTTACCTGCCTTTGACAAAGATATTTAATTCCTCTCTTAAACACGGTATATTTCCTGCAATATGGAAACAGTCATTTATAATCCCTTTGCATAAAAGTGGATTTAGATCCAACATTGAAAACTATAGAGGTATCGCAAAACTATCAGTTATACCTAAACTTTTTGAAGCTATCATCACTGACCATATAACCTTTTCGATTTCTCCATTAATTTCCTCATCTCAGCATGGATTTCGTAAAGGGAATTCGACTATAACAAACTTACTTGAATTTGTAAACCATGTATCATTGGGTTTTAGGGAACATAAGCATACGGATGTTATATACACAGACTTTAGCAAAGCTTTCGATAAAGAAAATATCTCGATTCTTATACATAATCTTGATCTGCTGGGCTTTCAGCCAAGATTCCTTCAATGGGTATCTTCCTATCTTTATAATAGAACACAACGAGTGATATTTGAGGATACACCTTCAGATACAATTAATGTTTCTTCAAGTGTTCCGCAAGGTAGTCATCTTGGCCCGATTCTGTTCTTGTTGTTTATTAACGATATCTCTTCAGTAATAGAATTCTCAAAAATTTTATTATACGCTGACGACGTAAAGCTTTTTAAATCATACACTTCAACTGAGGAAAGGTGTCTGTTGCAAACAGACTTAAACAATTTGGTTGCATGGTGTGATAGAAATGATTTGCCATTGAATCTCAATAAATGTAAGACGATGTGCTTTTCCCGAAAATCTGTGTGTGTAATAAAACACCATATTCTAGAGCAAGTTTTTAACTATGTTGATTTGGCAGTTAATATTGACCCTAAGCTTAATTTCAGTCTTCATATTGATACCATGGTCTTGAAAGCAAAAGCTGTCCTCAGTTTTGTTAAACGTTGGTCTAAAGAATTTAGAGATCCGTATATTACTAAAACACTTTATACAACTTTGGTTAGACCTATATTGGAATATGGCTCTGTGGTATGAAACCCCAGCTACCAAATCCCTTTTGACAAGTTAGAGTCGGTTCAAAAACAATTTTTACTTTTCGCCTTAGCGCATTTCCGATGGGATGCTAGGGTAAGTCTACCTCCATACACTAGTCGTTTAAAACTTATTAATCTACCTACACTTTCTAGTCGTAGGGAAATGCTTGGCATAATATTCTTAGTGAAACTTTTGAATGGAACTGTTTGCAGTTCTTTTTTCCTGTCTGAAATTAAATTTAATATCCCGGTTCGCCTTTCGAGGCAGTTTAGACCTTTACTGCTAAAATCCTGTAGATCAAATTTTGAACTAAACGAGCCATTCCGCCGTATATGTCATGATTTTAATTCTCATTCCAGCACATTTGACTTATCTGACTCACTTTTTAAAATTAAAAAGACTTTATTGTTTTCTCTTAATAAATGAAAATGTAACAATTTATTTTATTGTAACTTTAGATCTTAGCTGTTGAAATTTTTCTTTCTGTAGCTGAGCAGTTTTAGATCTCAACACTTAAAAAACTCTCTTGCCTTTTCTGACTCGGCTAATTCCGCACGTATGCGGATTGGGCCCCTCGCGTCGGTTGGGCGGGAGGAGGGTAATCGTTGGGTTATTATTATTATATTATTATTTTTATGCTTTCGCAACATGCTGCTACAAAGTAGAATAGTTTTGTTCACCTAACGGTTGTTTGAAACATCTAAAATTTATCGAGATACATGTATATAGAGTTATGTATGATCAGGATGAGACGAGTTGGCGCCCCCTACCCTTATAACGATTATATTGAAAACTACTAAAAGCGTGATAAAACAATAAATTTTACACTCGAGATAGTACGAAAGGATTTTCAGGAGGCACTATAAAAATTGGATAATGGGCGTAGGTAATCGGACTACAACCACGCCTCCTTTCACTTTGCAATATACAAATCAAGCACTAATAAAGATATCGGAGTTAAACTTTCCACAAATAGTATCATAAAAATTGTTCAAATCGGAACATAACTTTTCAAGAACCCATATACCTAATATGTGGAACCCGGTAACTATTATTGACTATTTGCCGAAAATATCGGTCAATTTTTGAGGTATGTTATTAAAATCAGATAGCTTTTCTTTCTAATAAAAATGTGACATTGTGTCTAAAATGGATAAATTCAGGTGAATGTTTTCCCTTGCACCGATATACCGTATGTATATAAGAATTTCATACTGACTGAGTTTATACCATATATATGAGTCAATTTGTGAGGTATTAATTTTAAATATAATAAAATTAACTTTCGTATTAGATATTCTTTCTTCTCAACCTGATCCAACGGGGTGGAAGTCTTCCTCTGCTTCTACCGGCGGGTACTGAATCGAATACTTTCATACCTAAAGTGTTCTCATCTATCCGGACAACATGACCTAGCCAACTTAGCCGCTGTCTCTTGATTTGCAGAACTATGTCAATGATGTACAGCTCATCGTTCCATCGATATGGTACTCGCTGTTACTGAAACACAAAATATCTCGAACACTCATCAGATGTTGTCATTGTCCATGCCTCCTCAATATAGCAGGACGGGAGTGATGAGAAACTTGTACAATTTGGTCTTTGTTCGTCGAGAGAGGACTTTACTTTTCAATTGCCTACTAAGTCCAAAGTAGCACCTGTTAGCAATAGTGATTCTGCGTTGGATTTCAAGACATTAAGGCAGCCCCTGTTCGTGCTGTCGCAGGCGGCTTTAAAATCGACAAAGAGGTGGTATGCGTCGCTCTTTTTTCCACTGGTCTATTTAGATATTTAGCGCATGATGAAAAGCTGGTCGATAGTAGAGTTTCCAGGTTTAAAGCCACACTGATAAGGTACAATCTGTTTGTTCATGGTGAGCTTCAGTCTTTATCATACTACGCTTGATAGGACCTTACATGCGATATTAAGGAAGCATATCCCACGGTAATTAGTGCAGATTGTGGGGTCCCCCTTTTTGTGGATAGGGCAGAGCACACTTAGGTTCCAATCATCGGCCATGCTTTCATCCGACCATATCCTACAAAGAAGCTGATCCAACGGCCCCTGTCGCTTTGTTGTTCTTCAGTCGGGTAATTGCTATTCGAAGCTCTTCATAGACGGGCAATGGAGCATCTATTCTTTAGTCATCGACTAACGAATCGGGTTTGCCATCTCCAGATGTCACACTTTCACTGCCGTTCAGCAATGGTTTCGCTTGCAGTTGTACGTAAAGAGCTTGAAAACCTTCCCACAGTTCTCTTATACCGAGTTGCTGATGAGTGCTCTCAGAGAGCAGGAGTGCAAGTCGAGTAGAAAACCGTTTAGCTGTCGATTGTGATTGTAGCGTCTTGACATTGAACCTTCCTTGTGTTTGTTGACAGGCATACTTTGCTGCTCAGTGGAACGTTTCTTTGCTACAACAAGATAGTGGTTCGAGTCGATGTTAGGTTCTCGGAGCGTACGCACGTCAAAAACACTGGAGACATGTCGTCTATCTATCACGACATGATCGATGTGTATGTGAACTTTTCGATCCGGAAACAGCTACTAGGCTTAATGAATTTTCTTGTGATGGAATCTAGTACTACAGACAACCATATTTCGAGTCCCGGTGAAGTCGATCAGCTTCAGCCCATTTGGAGAAGTTTCGCAATGGAGGCTGAATTTTCCAACGGTTATGCCAAAGATACCTTCTTTGCCCACCCTGGCTTAAAAATCGGCAATGGCAATTTTGGCATCGTAGCGGGAGCAGTTATCATAAGCGCGCTCAAAACGCATATAAAAAGCATCTTTGGTCATATTGTTCGGGCGTGGGCGCAAATCAATGTTATGTTGAAAAATTTTGCTTCGATGGGGATTGTGGCTAGACGCTCATCCACCGAAATGAATGCCGAAAACTGAGTCTTTCTCCCGCCACGAATACCACACCGAATTTCAGCTCCTTTATAAGGCCACTGTAGTAAATGTCACATGGACTTTAAACCGAATACGTCAAAGCCGAAAATTCCTCTCATTCAGCCATGACCCCAAGCTCCACACGAGTTGGTTACCGCATCTTACAGAAGGAAGCAAGAGTAGAAATTGAGTATAGCCCTACGACTGCATCTGCATATCCAGAAGCATGACCCCATTACACCCCGATTTTGCATTAAACTATAGTATTGGACATACTGAATAAAATCGGTCCACCCCATAAAATTTAATAGAAACATGCTCTCAAGTATACCTAAGTAATGGCAATAATCAGCATAATCAGCTCAGGCCTTCACCTGACGTTAAACCGTTTATATTGGTCAAAATGTATAATATTTTAATGAAATTAACTAGATAGAGTTTCTTAAAGATAATGTTATTTAGTCCGATCCCTCGGTTGAGTTTTTTCTCATATAACATTATGTTAAATTTAACTTCTTTGGTTGAGTTTATACCACCAATATCTCATTTGTGGTAGATTTTAATATAAATAGCGCAGCACGAAGCGAAATATGTGTAGTAAAAAATAAATTGAATATATGCCCTACATATAAAGTAAGTAATAAGATACTACATTTAATTGTAATCCATTCACGGTTTCGTCGTATAATGAAGGTTGAATTCTTACGCAACATTTTTATACTCTCGCAACATGCGGCTACAGATTACAATAGTTTTGTCACCTAACATTTGTTTGTATCATATAAAACTAAACGAGATAGATTTAGAGTTATATGGGTGTACCGGTATAAAATTAGCGTTTTTTTGTGAAAATGAAATACTTATTTTGAATGGGAAAGTAAAAAACATCATTCAAAGTATTAACTATTGCTTTTTACGCATTTTGACCACCTTTCTGGCAATTTGTGGATAACATGCCAATAGAAATGTTCGTCTTTTGAAGCAAAGCAATCAGACACCCAATTTTCGACTTCTGTCGTACGAGAATAGTGTTCAGCCAATGCGAGTCTCATCGTTTAAAACAAATGGTAATCGGGAGGGACCAAGTCTGGTGAATATGACGGGTGGGGTAGCAGCTCAAAGCCAAGTGCTTCAATTGTATTTTGAACCGATTTTGCTTTTTGTGAAGGTGCATTGTCGTGTAACAAAGTTACTTTACCGTGTCTTCTGGCCTATCCCGGTCGTTTTTCGATCAATGCATGGTTCAAATTGATCATTTGTTGTCTGTAGCAATTAGTATTAACAGTTTCACTAGGTTTTAGAAGCTCATGATATACCACATCCTTCTGATCCCACCAAACACAGTTTTTGCAGTCGATGTTGATGGTTATCCCGGATTAACTCAAGATTTCCTCCATTTATGATTCTTAAAATAAATCCATTTTTCATCGTAAAATGGAAAATCGTAAAAAGTAACCATCGCGGGAAAATTTTGGCTTCAAAACTTTTTATATTATACTAACATATCTAAAGATTCATTCGATTCGGTGGGGGTCGCGTCCAACTATTTGTCGATTTGACATGGAATGACCCATATATACCTATTTATATATATATGATCAGAATGACAAGATGAATTGGAATCGGGGTGACTGTCTGTTCGTCCGTTGTAAACGACATTTCTAAGTTGCAGTGTTAAAATAAGCGAAATCGAAACACAATCACGCCTACAATTTAAGTTAGTAGTGACTGAAAAAGCTTGCGTTGTTTATGGTACCTGTCCGTATATAAACTACAAGTATGTAGCCTATTAAGCAAGAAAACTCACATTTAGCAAAAAGAAATGAAATATGCGTTGCTAAAACTTTTGAAAACTAGATAATAACGCGCCCATTAACGGGCTAGTAAACATCTCACAAGCTTCCAAAACTATAACTTCCAAACTTTGTGGAAGCACTTCTTTCTAGCAGTTTATGATGCAGAAAGATAATGCGCTCCTACTGCTTAAATAAGTAGGTAATATGTGTAACGTTTAATTGTGGTTTCAACAGTTTGCGGTTATAATTTTTGAAATCATTACTTTTATATTTGATACAATTTTATTAAAAATTAGTTATCCACACAGTCAGTGTGAAAAACAAAATAACCACGTGTTACACAAAACAGTAAAACCAATAATAAATTCAAAACTTTTGAACAAGTTACACGCATTAAGCTGCTCAAATGGTGCAGAAAGTTCTACGTTAGCAATGTGGTACTCTAAGAGATACCCTGCTGAGACGAAATCCATCATCAAAACATGATATAAAAATCTGTGAAATAAACAGCACATACAAGTATTGTTGCTTTTTAAAATTTCTTTTCAATAATTACTAAAATTCGGAAAATTCAATTCTCAAATTCCTCGGAATCAACGCCTTTTCCTGATAATAATATATGTTTGTATCAAAATTTGGCAAAAATGTGCAAACACGGGTAAATACTACTAGAGGAAGTAGTAGTAGTATCCCATAGGCATACATAATATTATATAATATATCTATTAATATGAAACTCTTTCTGATAATAGTATGTCGTGAAGCCAAAACTTTCAACACCAGTCATTATGCGAGATTCACAAACAGTGTGTCGTTGTGCCTAAAATTAATCAAACCTGATTAAAATTTCTCCTAGTTCGTATATACCTAATATAAGGATTTTCAAACAACCAGTTGACTTTATACCATATATAATATATTATAAAAATCTGTGAGGTAACTTACGGGGGTACATGGGTTTCACGGCTTCATAAAGTCGATATTTTTGATTGGCTTATTTAATTCTTATAACATCTCTAGAATATTGCACTAAATGCTCAAGTTGATCCGAGTAATAGTTTTGGTGATACAGCCTTGAAAATATACGAGCTCGAGCTAAATTATAGGTGGGTAGGTAGGTAGAGTGGCTATCTAACGACACACCTAGGCCTATAGGAGGCCCATTGTGATACCACCGGGACTAATGTTCCCTCATTCTATCGTCTCCTCTCTGAACCAACCTGTGCTTCTGATGAAGCTCATCAGTACAAATAGTTTTATATTAGCAACTTCCAATACGTCGTCAAGGAACCATCGACCGCTAGTTGCGATTCTTTTACTGTATAGAGTTTTACTTTCGCATATAAAATGTTTTACAGTCTCCTCTTCTTCTACTTCCTGACAGCTTCTACAATAGTCGTTGTAAGGTACACCTAGCCTGCTGGCATGTCTACCAATTAGACAGTGGCCTGTTATTACTCCTATCAGAGCTCTTATGTCATTCCTTTTGAATTTTAATAGTCGGTTTGTGCGACTCTCGCTACTTACTAGTTAGCCTACTAGTTGAGCGAGTTTGATTATCTCCACCGAGACTCAGCTAGATTTATAGCATGTTCGCTGATTACGTGTTTGCAAGTTATCAGAGGCATACAAATTCTCTCTTTTTCAGGGGTTAATTGTAAAGTGGTACCTTTTCTGGCTAGTTCATCTGCTTCGGAGTCACCAGGGATATCACTATGCCCTGGAACCCATTGCAGGTTTATATTAAGTATATTAAGTAGGATGTTAGATCCTCTAACAGATCTAGACATTCTTTCAGTATCTTTAATGAGGCCATAGGAGACTTGAGTGATTTCAAGGCCGCTTGGCTATCCGTATATAGGTACGTATATATTATATATGCTCCTTGTTGTGAGCACACTTTTTGTCAATACCACAAGGCTTTTTTTGATTGCTGTGATCTCCGCCTGGAAAACACTGCAGTGGTCTGGTAACCGGAATGCGATTTTGGTGTCTAAAGTTGCGGAAAAGACACCACCTCCCACTCGATTATCTAGTTTGGATCCATCCGTGTTGATGCTAATTCCTGCATTCCTATCTACCCCGTCCCTTTCCCACTCCTTTCTGGTGGTGAAGGCAATATTGTGAACCGAATTTAGCTTCAATTCTATTGGATTACGGAAATCCGCGGTTTTTGGTAGAAACGGGAATAAAATAATTATTCTAGAATCCTCTTGTTGCAGGCAACTAATTGGGAGGATACTCTTAGTCTGAGAGCTGACTTTGCTTCCACTTGCTTACAGAACAGGTCTGTTGGCAAAAAATGTAGAATGATGTTTCGTGCCTGGCTTGGCATTGTTCTAAGAGCTCCACTAATGCATATACTGGCTGCTCTTTGTATACTTTCCATAAGCCTCACCGCGTATTTCTTTTCCATTATTGGACACCATACCAATATACCTCATGTCATTATTGGTCTGACAACTGCTGTGTAGAGCTAATAAGCTTTCCGAGGCGTTAGCCCCCATTTAGGGCCCACCATCCTTTTACAGATGTACCGTAGCTGCTATCTTCACCCTAGTATCCAAGTTTTGTTACCATGAAAGCTTTCTGTCTAAGGTTAGTCCTAAGTAGCTTGCCTTATCTCCAATTGTTTGTCTGCTACCATTTAATACAGGCGCCGTAACTACTGGAGTTTATGTTTTCTGGTGAACAATACTAGCTCTATCCTACCAGCATTAAAGTTTAGTCGATACAGCCCAACGATTCTGCGACTGCTGAAACTGACACAGGAATAGACCGTCTAGTCCCGGCGACTTGAAAGGCTTGAATCTATTTATTGCCCAGCGTACGATTGCTTTCTAATACTAGTATTACAAGAGTGGAGTCTATTTCTGCTCCACTGTCTTGAGTATATTCAACAGTATGGCTTTCACAGCTACCTGGGAAGTGGGTATCCATTAGTAGTCCCAGTGGCCTAATTCTACCCCTACTTCGTGCTATTGGACAAGTCTCTACTCTACTTTCTCGAATCACTGATTGGCTATTTGCTACATAATAGCATTTTCCGCACTTATTTTCACTTGCTTTTTTCAATATTAAGAAAATTCGCCATTCCTTCTTTGCGAGAGTCGGCCAATTCTCTATCTTTTTTAAAAGGCAGACTGACGGCAAATCGATTATTTTTATATTTCACTATTGTTTTATCAAATATTTTCAGGCATTCATCATCATCTTATGTATATGTTATCTCTCAGTATATGTTAAACTAACTTCTATTCCCTAATTTCTCATATATTGCAGTACCGCCGCTAAAATTTTATGGTATTTTCTCGGTTGTTATAAAATTCCCGACAATATCCAGCCCCATTTTGTGGCTTGACTTAGTCTTTCATCCTTCTTAAATATGCCTTCTTCTAGTATGTCAGCATATACATCACCTCCAATAACGACGTCGATTCGATCCGATTTATAAAAATTGCGTGCAGCTAAGATATAGGTTTGGCATTGTTCTATAACCAATTTAAACGTTTTATCTGGTTGTACACTCGCTAATTTTGGCAAAATTAGTGCATCCACATTGTACTTTGTGCCGCTTAGGAATCTCGGTTCTTTTTTTAATTTCTATTTTGAATTTGGATACTCCCACTGTAGTATTTCCTAAGCCCTGTAGGTATTTTTGGTAAATGAAGTATTTGAGCTGCTTCTTCGGAAATTCTGATTTTTTGGAATCCTTGATCGATTAGAGCTCGCATTGCCACGTACTTTGCCATTTACTGCCTTAACCAGAAAACGTATATCATAGAGAAGGTTCATGGTGTGCCGATTGTTAAAATGGTCCGCTTGACGGAGGGTTACTTGCCAACTTAAAAGGATTTCACCACAAACAAATTATAACCGGAGTTTACCCCTGCGGAGCGCAAAATAACAGAATTGAGCATTTTTAGTGTTAAATGAAAAAGCTAAAATCAATGTTAAGAAATGTACGCTTACAGATTTGTATATTTAGAATGCGCAAACAACTTTGCATATAATTTTAAGATATTCTGCATATACAGGGCGGCTCACGAATCATGCTACAAAAATAATTAATCAATGCATTACATAAATTTTTATACCCTGAACAGGGTATATTAAGTTTGCCATGAAGTTTGTAACACCCAGAAGGAAACGTCGGTGACCCAATAAAATATATTGTGGCGAACACGAGTACCAGAACAAATCAGAATTGACGATAAACTGCCAGAAGCAACTAGACAGCGAATTCGTAGTTGCCAGAATGTTCTAGTAGCGAACTTTTGTTAAAAATTTGCTATATAAGGGCTGCCGGATTGTGCAGCCGAGACAGTTCTAATTAGTGTTGCCGTGTAAAGAGCAATTAAGCTATAAGCAATAAGTTGTAAGTTCGAATAGCGAGCAATAAGTGTTAAGTTGCTGGAATTGGAAATAAAGATAAGTGTATAATAAGCATTAAATTGGGACTTTAATTTAACCATCCAGTGATCGAGCTCAAGAGCGAGTTATAGTTAGACGATTTATCAAGAAATCCGTTACAATATATATAAATGATCAGCATGATGAGCTGAGTTGATTTAGCCATCTCCGTCTGTCCGTCCGTCCGTCTGTATATATGCAAACTAGTCCCTCAGTTTTTAAGCTATCGATCTGAAATTTTGCACCTGGCCTTTTCTCACCAATAAGCTGCTCATTTGTCGATATCGGACGATAGCATATAGTGAAATTGTATTGATCGGATGACTATAGCATGTAGCTACTATACAAACTGAACGATCGGGGAAAGTGCTTGCATGGAAAACTTTTTCATTTGACGAGGTATCTTGACGAAATTCGACATGAGTTATTTTCTAAGGCAAAAATATAATCTCCGAAAAAATTGTTTAGATCGGATCGCTATGTCATACAGCTATCATATAAACTGAACGATCGGAGTAAAGTGCTTGCTTGGAAAAAATTTTTATTTTTTATTGCCGATTCACGAAATTAGATCTGAATCAAGTTATTGTAAGGAACCTTTGTACCTATGAAGGGTATTATAGCTTCGATGCAACCGTAGTTAACGTTTTTCCTTGTTTTGTATTGTATAGAAAACTTTATTTTATTTTATACAATTAATTATTCCTCCATGCCCAGCCACGCATATGCGACACCTATTAGAAAATTAATGCGGGCTGAAGGTTGAAGTCGGGATTGCTTCAAATATCTATTTAATGGGCTGCTTCAGTTCAGTCAGATTTCTGGGTTTGATTTTGTACACCTCTTGCTTGACATAACCCGATAAGAAAAAACCAAGCGGTCCTAAATATTCTTATACGTATATATGTATATGTATAATTATATGTGCATATAAACAATAATGAAAGTACCCATTATTTGTCTACATGCAACATATGTATGAAAATATGTACACCCATTATTTCATAGGAAATCTCCGTTGTCAGTGACAGATACAGAATTTCTTGCTGGAGGGAATTATTTCCTTCCAACATATTTTTAATATGTTCTGATTTTATGATAGTAGCGGACTCTGTGAATCGATCTATTAACTATATAAATTTTTCCTCAATATTTTAAAATTACCGAACTATTATTATTCCCCCATAGATCCGCCACTGCGGAATACCAATGGCAAAGCTCATGTTTTTGTTTTTATGTCAAAGAGTCAATGTGTTGAAAAATTGACGACTGTTTACGCGATGACAAAGCGTCACAACATTGTGTTGTTGGTAGAAAATCCGAGCTGTGCCGATAAAAAATAACGAACGGTCGCCGCTTTTCTTCGTTCTATATATGTATGTATGTTTATATATACATATATGCATACATATTGACGCAAATTTTTGTGAGGTACGGAAAAATATTTTAAAATTCTAAAATATTTTAAATCGACAAAATCATTGTTGCCATTTTTTTCTGTGTATTCTGGGTTTTACGGGGTTGTCACTTTTCCCTTCTCGGAAGTACATCAGAAATTTGTTCAATTTATGATTTTCAGCTTTTTCCATCGTAGCGAAAAGACGCTTGTAGGCAAGCGCATGCTCGGGGAGATGTATAAGGCGTTTGCTTTTATGAATGAAACGACTTAACTTATTGCATGTGTGCCAGCGTTCATGAATGAAAATGTTGTTGTGGTGTGATTTACTATAAAATTGGGCTTCGGCTATTTGGCCGACATATAGACTTGTGACGATTGTTGTTTTTGTAGAACAATGTTTGTAGTTTTTGCGGGTGACATATTTACATGTGTACGCATATACATATGTATGTATGTTGGTTTGTGTATGCAATATTTGTTGGGTAATGTCATGTATACATATATGTATATTGTAATAAATTTAATCTCTATTATTATAATACAAAATATTTATTAGGAAAGTATATTATGCAAAAAGATATTCATATTAATAAATATGTTTGCATATAAGCGTATAAAAATATTATATAAGCCAAAAGCCTAACATGCAGCTGTAATATCAAAGCAAGTCTCTGAGCATAATTTTCATACAATGCTCAGCTCTGTTCACTCTCCACTGTTAAAATTTCTCCTTCCAGCTAGCTGAGGTGAAATCCACTATTAAAATCTTGTTAGGTTTTGACAATTCACACGCTGGTCTGCAATTGAACCTTCTATATGATATACATTCTCTGCTCTAACACTGGAATAAGTTGGGCATGCCTTTATTCCTGGTTTCAATGATAAAATATTCCTGAATATCCTGCATGTATTGTAAGATAATAAAAATATTTTAAGCAATATAAACTTCTCATTTATTCAATAAAAGAAAAAAGTTTGTTTACTAAATATTAATATCAAAGAACTGCATAAAAAATAAATAAATAATTATAATTGCATAAGTTGATAAAAAAAAATGCTATGCAATAGCTTTACCGCGGCATTCCCCGAGTGCCACACGTATTTCTTTTTTTTTTTCTTCTTATTATTACCCTTGCCTTCATATACATGATCAAACCAATTAATCATAGTTTAATATAATTTAATTCCGTAACTGGTAGATGTTGTATTAATCTACCAGCTTCTCCACCAAATAATGTCTTCAGTCGGAACATATTTTCTACTTTAGTAAAGTGCTTCGAATTATGCACTAAACTTGTGAAAAAACTGATGACCATTTTTTCATGTCTCCATAAAATGTTTGAATTTTTATTTCTTAGATTTATGTTAGAATACACTCCTTGTGTTGGAGTGTCGTTGTTTAATTTTTAAGGAAAATATTATATTCTGCTTTTCGTTATGACTTTTAAATGGATATTATTTCCTTTATCAAATGCTTTTTCAACATTTTCAAAATATATTTGAAGCTTCATTTTAAGATCTTCTCTCTTCGAGAAAATACAGTTCATTTTTTTTATTTTTGCTAATATCGTTTTTAGCTTTTGTACTCGACTTTAAAATTTCAGTTTATCATCGAAAGCAGAATCTGGTGGTTTCATTTGACTTGTTTGTTGCATGGATCCAGTAACCCACCTGCTGCTTACTGGTGAAGAATCTTCCGCATTTTTTTGAATTTTATATAAAAATAAATTTTATATAAAAGTAAAATATTTACGTTCCCTGTGTGAAGTGCAGCTAACGCATTTTATCAGTTGCTAATTTTGTGTATGTATGTTTTGTATCTTGTATATTTTCATACAATATACGGTTGTTTTTATTTGTAATACATGTGTATGTGTGTAGTTCATATTTTAATGTTCAATATGTATCGTAAATTTGTTTGTATGTATTTATGTATACGAGTACACTGTAATTTATGTGTTTCTTTCGATAAATAATGTTTTTAACAATTTTATTAGCAAAGTTTTATATTCGAATTTTATAGCCTATCATAGCACTTGACATTCAGTGGACTGTATTTTTTTATTCAATTTATGGTTTACATATGTTGTATATTTGTATACTAATGTACATGTCTCAAAAATATAAATTTCTATATATAATTATAACTTATGGATACAATATTTTCATGTTCATATTTTTATGAATTTTATTCCATCTAAAAGTGATGGATTGTCAAATAATTTAACAAGTCACATACAGCTCTGTTGGCCACATTTAAATAAAATTATGGCTTCTGGCTTTTTACTTTAGCGAAATAACGCACATAACAGACATCCAAATTTCATCAACTCGTCTCATCATCCTGATCATTTGGATCCGGACAATCCTTTATACATACATATATCAGGGTTCGTTTTATGTGCAACAAATTGTGAAAGTGTAAATAATAGATGTTATTCCTTTATATGACATTGGTAATACAATTTTAATAAAAACTAAAGGTTCAAATTAATATATCTTTTTTTATTAAAATTATTAAGAAACCTTAAAATAGCGAAGTAGTCACTGTTGTTTACTATTTATTTATTGTTATTAACTGCTAGTATTTTTTAAATGGAATTGATTATTCACGTTTGTGGAACAGTTTCAGTACAGTTCAACTTTATTCACAATTTTAGTAATCAGCGTTTCAAAAGCTTCCTCTATCATGCTTATATATTGTTGTGTATCCTTGAAACATTTTTGTTTTGTATTTGATGTAAGTTGCATTTGTGTTGAGTTAATACCTAAAGTTCCCTGTGAATGCAAACTCTTTCCAGTTGACATCAAAATATTAATACAGTCGTCAACTAAAATTGGGAAAGCTTCCGCGAATCGGATAAGGGCCGGAAGAACGTTGCTTAAAAATTTGCACTTAGCATGCGTGGAAAGTAGGGATAAGGAAGATTGGACTGTGTTAATACAGAATTTTGAAACACTTAAACTCTTGGGTATAGCGTATTTAAGAACGAGATGTGATGCTAAATCGATTGTGAAAATTTGTTTATCCATTTCCGGCATACTGAGAAATTCATGCAAAAAATCGATACATATATGCATTGAAGGGACTCCCATTACCATCATTGGTATAACTTCTCGGGGATATGTTTGAAAGTGAACTAGTTTAGCTAAAGAAGGTTCGGATATAAAAGCCTGATGTATAAATGAGCATATTATGCCTTGCGTTTCTCGTAACGAAAACGTTGATACCGTGTCCTTTGCATTTTTATTCATATCTGCTAAAACCTCCAGAAGTATGTGTACAGCTGCGCTCTCCTGAGACGCAATTAATGCTGTCTTCAATTCCTCGCGATCGGTATCACTTTGTAACAGAATATTTTTATCCAATATCTGTTTGGAAGGCATTTGTATGTTGAGAAAAGCTTTAGATGCGGCCAAGCTGCCTTGAAGTATCCGCAGCAGTATCATTAAGGTGTAGGGAGAGTAAAACACATGTTTACCGCACCTGAAATATGTAAATTGTCAATTTCATCTCTTCGGAGTAAGAAAAAGATTAGTTATATAAATAATTATAGGCATACCTTAGAACCTGTAATGGATCCAACAAATCTTCATTAACATATGTACATCTTGTAGCACCAGTATCCGCATTCATTACAGAATTTAAGGACATTTTCCAAAAGCTAGTAGGTAATACAGAATTAAGTCGTAACCATATATCCTTATAGAGTTCTTGAATAATTCGTGGAACGTTTTTCTGAAACACTATTGACATGTTTTCAACTATTAGATCTGTATATTGCGCCAGGTCTTCAGCAGGCAGCTTTAAAAGAGCTTTAAAAACCCGTATTGCTATTGCCGGTTTCGTTCTTATTTTTTCAAGCGCCTTAATGACAAGAGCACGTTCAATTTGTTTATTTACCATGAGATTCGGTAAAACCGGATTAGATATATAGTGCTCCTCCATCCAATCGTCAACCATGCTCAAATGGGGATAATTGGAAATAATTAAGCGAAGTAATGGATGGAATAGACCAGCATAATCATTTTGATATTGTTCCGCTTTCTGCAACAAATACTTCATAGGAAGTTCTGCCAAAAAGTTATTAGAATACTCTTTTATTTTTCTTACGGCGGTAGACTGACTGTGTGTATTAGAAAGACGAGTATCTTCATAAAGAACCAAATAGTACAGGATAAGTAGTTGAGCCGTTAAATTACATTTTACTTCAATTCCTATTATTTCCTCCAATTCTGCGGTTGTGGCACCAAACGAAAGAGTTTGGGTGGCTCCAAAGAGATTTTTGCTATCAAAAGTAGTAGCTTTCGATGATTTAAATATATGCAAAATTTCGGTTTCAGAGAACGGCTTATGCATGTGATCCACATTGATTTTCCCCAACGGATTCGGTACTATTAACGAATTAACATAAACTTCTATTAAAGCTGGCATTACAGGATGAACTGGTCGCACAGAACTACATATTTGCTTGTAAATCCATAGTTTAATAGGAACTTTATGCTTTAGAAATGCTCGAGATTTTAATAACTGATGTATACAATGAACCGAAAGATAACCGGAAATATTTGCATTTAAATTAGGTGTAACTGGCACGCGAACAGCATGAGATGCAACCACCTGTTCAGTAAATAGATCTTGGGTGAAAACTTGTTTTATACGATTTGTACTATTTGGACGAATAGGAATTTTCATGGCTAAAGTAGAGCAAACCAATTCGCTGATGGCAGTTATTTGGTTACTATGAAAATGTATTGCGAGCAAGAGCAACATTTCACCCAGCGATGCAGACGTGTCTGACTTTCTACCAAAAAATTTATCTTCCTTTATAAGCCATTGTAGCCATTCAACTGATTTATTTTCAAGAGCAGTTGTAGATACAAGAGACGGACACGCAATGAGCATACAAAGGGCCAGTGAGACGAATCGAAGTCCAGATTGTGTGGGTTTTGGGCGGCTAGTAACTAGTTGAGTTAACATATTGACTTCGTCATCGTTAAATCTAAGTCATAATGAAAAAAAAATATAAATAAATTGGAAGAAATTATTAAATAAAAAACTATATTATATAATATGTATGTATTTATATCTAAAACGTTCTGATTTTAGTTATCGAAGATTTACAACACATGCAGATGAATCTTTGAAAACCCGACAGTCTTGCGCAGGAGAACTGTATTAGTTATCTTCATACCTAAGGTAGTAACTGTTCTCAGGAGCAAAATCGGGGCCGGGATAGTGAAACCACGCACCAAACTGTCAGTGCCCGTGGACAAATTTCCAAGCATTTTTCAAGCAGAGATGTTCGCCATTAGCAGATGTGCAGAGATTTTAAAGAAAAGCTATTACGGGGAACGTATTCTCATCCTCAGTGATAGTCAACTTCTAACGAAGGAAGCAGCAGCAACCAAGCCAATAGAACCGGAACCGTTCTTCGCTGTGGGCCTATTACGAGAAAAGCTCCGGAAAGAGAAAAGGGCTTATAGAAATCGCCGGGTTTCTTAAGGTGAAGCTGTTTCGGGAGAGTTCAATGAAAAGGGTTCAAGCAAGTAATTGTTCTCCTAGGGACAAATTAAGACAGCTAGTATTGTTATTTTGTATATTAAATAGTGTTCAGCATTCGACGAAGTTGTGAATGAATTAAAATCTTATTTGGTGATTGAATTAAAATGTTATTTGGTATCTATTAACTTATAATAAAGGACATACACTTGCTTATACCCAATTTCGCAACTCCAATCAGTTGAAATTTGGATAAATTAATCTATTTTTAGTATTAAGAACTGCAACTCAGTCATTGATGTTGTTAATCTAAAAGAGATGTGCTGCGCATACTAAAAAGCTTCAAGATTACGCAAATCTATTGGAAATTCCTAACACAAAGAATGCCAAAGTTTTATTGACAATTTTGTGGCTTTTAAATAATGTTTATTGCTTTTATAAATAAATTCATTTTATTACTGATTATTGTTATCAAAAATTCAGTGAAAATGATTTTAACGTTGTGCTGGCGTAACCTACGATGTATGAACACGTATTTGTGCGTAGTAAATTAAAACTCAAATGACCGAAGAGAAGCTTATAAAATTAAATTTTACTCAAAAAATGCATTTCTAGGAATAGTAGATTGTATCGATTTTTATGTTCGCAAGAGTTTCCGCTCTCCCTTTGCCACGAGCTCAACAAGTTCATTAACTTGTTGCAAGCTTGTTATACCCTGAACAGGATATATTAAGTTTGCCACGAAATTTGTAATACCCAGAATGATATGTCGGGAGGCCCTATAAAATATATACAAAAATTATTAGCATAATGAGCTAAGTTGATTTAGCCATGTCCGTCTGTCCGTCCGTCCGTCTGAATATACGCGAACTAGTCCCTCAGCTCTGAAGCTATCGATATGAAATTTTGCACATGTTCTTTTCTCACTAAGAAGCTGCTCATTTGTCGGAACGGCCGATATTGGGCCATCTATCTTCACGAAATTAGGCATAAGTTATTGTCAAAGGCAACCATGTAATCTCCAAAGAAATTGTTCGGATCAGATCACTATAGCATATAGCTGCCACGATCGGAATCAAATGCTTGTATGGAAAACTTTTTCATTTGACGAGATATCTTTACGAAATTCGGCAGAGATTATTATTTAAGGCAATAATGCTCCAAAGAAATTGAATAGATCGGTTGACTATAGTATTTAGCTGCCATATTAACTCAACGATCGAAGTAAAGTGCATGCATGGAAAACTTTTATTTGACGTGATATCTTCACGAAATTTGGCGTAGGTTATTGTCTAAGGCAATTATGCAATCTCCCAGGAAATTGTTCAGATCAGATCACGATAACATATAGCTGCCCTTCAAATTGAACGATCGGAATCAAGTTCTGTGAAGAGTGTTATCGTGTTTCGGTGCAACCGAAGTTAACGTTTTTTCTGTTTATTTGTACAACTCTTAATCACTCAATCACTTATTGAAATAGTTTAAAACTATTTTAAATTGTTTATTTACCAAAGTTTTTAATTTTTTAATAAAAGTTTTTCGAAATAAACTGCTTGGTAGCAGTTGTAGTGTTTTGATACTCTCGTTAACCATGTTAGTGTTTTAACACAAAAAGGTTAAAGCTCGACAATACTTAAGCCGAATTTTTTTTTGTTGGACTGCATTATAATCGATAACAGCGAATTAAAAAAATTTAACACTTTACTTCGTGTTCGAGATATTTATAGTAGAATCAATCTAATTTACTGAAAGGAGATATACATATGTAATACTGAGATCAGGAAAATGTGAATCATATGATCGGAAATCAATATATTAGGGATATAAAACATGAGCACGAAAAAAGCTGGTCGCAGCAATAACGTTATAAAACTTATATTTATTATTTAATTTCAAAAATACTTATACAAGTTATAGCTTACATATAGCTTTATACGAATTTGAAAAAAGTCAGTTTGTTTTGTTATAGGCGAATAATCAAGGCATTACTGAAGTATTTGGTTACATTTCGCCATTTATTTTTAAAAAGCCTTTCATTTTTTACAACTTGTTGGGCCTTTAACAGTTTTGCTTTAATAATGACTCAGTAAGTCCCAATTGGCTCTGGGCAATTTGGAGGGTTAGCCTCTTTAGGAACTACAGCCAATCTATTGATTTGGTACCACTTTAAAGCAATTTTTCCGTAATAACATGTCGCGAAATAAGGCCGAAGGAGTAGTGGGTCCTTATGAAGCTTAATTAAAGGCAATGGACGCTTCTATAAATACTCAATAACATAAATGTCTTTATTTATACTTCCATACCCAATGGTTCGCTTTTAAAGCCGCAGTGGCAAATAAGACATTTTTGGGATTTTGTCGAGCTTTTTATTTTGAAAACTGGCGGCCTCGAAGTTGTTTTAAGTCCCCTTTTACGTAGGACTCTTTGTCCATTACAACGCAGTTTAAGTTAGCCATGAACTTATAAATAATTTGTCAAAACGCTGGACGTTGAAGGATATTGTTTTAGTGAGATTTGTAGAAAATTTCCGAACTTAGTATGGAAAAGCTGAAAGGTGGAATATTTGATACAGCAATTACTAAAAGATTTTATGAAAGTTATGACTGTTCTAGAAAGTAAATCGTGAAAAAGTTTTGTGTTGATGGTCGAAAATCAAATTATGAAGAAATTGTACAAAATGTGCTGGCAAACTGTCAAACTCTAGAAACAAATTTGAGTATCAATTTCGACTATTTCGGCAAACATCTGGATAAATGTTCGGATAATTATCGAACCTAAAGTAGGAAACAGAGATTGAACCAGGGCATAAAAGTGATGGAAGAATAGTATAAAAATTGTTGAGCTCGTCATATAATGAAAGATTAGTGCTGGTCCTTAAAAAGATATTACGCCCTGGAAAAATATAAAATAAGAGCTCATAGAAGGCGTTTTATTGAAATATAACACAAGTTTTCGACACTTTTCTCTGTGTTTATTTTTAATGTATCCTTTTTTTTCAAAACAAAACGGACATTATAAATGTAACTGTTTTCTGTTTTTGGAATGTAAAATGGAAATAAAGATTTACAAATAAACGAGAGCAAATCTTACATCTTATCTTAGATTCATGAACAACGAGGCTCAAATATATCCGAAATCAATCTTATGTCTAGGGTAACAAAACCACTGTAGGTTATCATTACGATTTGGTGCTTTATTAATGTACTAGCAATTTACAAAAATTGTAAATTTTATTTTTTCGAATGTTCTGACTTAAAGGAAGTTGAAAACTCAGAAAACTCTACATCGAATTTAAAGTTATCTGAGAAGACGCATATCTCTACATTGGCTGTATTAGAGCTAGTGAAAGGTCTGGGCTTGTTGCATTAACTTTTGGCGTTAATCAAGTGTAGAGTCAAGTATAATATATATATAGTATCAAGCAAGATAACTCATACATTTACCGAGATATTCGGTATAAAGTCTACTAGAATAACGAAAATTATTATAAGTAGAATAGTATAGAAAAATGAGTAATACCAAGAGTTAATGCAATCAGTCCAGACCCCTATCCCAATATACCCGAACATTTTTATACTCTTGCAACGTATTGCTACAGATTATAATTGTTTTGTTTACCTAACGGTTGTTTGTATCATCTACAATTAATAAAGATAGATATAGTGTTACTATATACCATTTATAAATGATTAGGATGACGAAACGAAGTGAAACCCGGATGTCTGTAGGTAACCTGACTAAAAATTATGATATCTTGATGAAATTTGGTACATATGTGTATTGACACTATAAGAAGTTTGGTATTGTAGATGAGCCTAATCGGACCACTTCGACGCCCAAAAAACGCCAATATCGAAATTGCCATAATTAAGCCGCATATTAAGATACAAAACTGTAATTTGGGTAGACATAGCCCCTCCACCTAATAAGTTTAATGTATATATCTCCCAAACCATTTAAGCTATATCAAAAAATTTGCTCTGGGCAACTATTTGCAGTATCTCTTACGACAGTGGGAAAATACGTAAAATCCAATGATAACCCCTCACTCCCCATATAACGGTTTTGTTAAAAACTAATAAAACTCCATGTCTAAATGCGTCAGAAACATTACATTTTACATCCTGGATGGTACAAAACAAATTTATATAGAGCCGATATCAAAATTAGACGATGGGTGGCATCGCCCACTTTTAGGCGAAATCATATACATATCTCCGGACCTAATTGACCAATTTCAACAAAATACAGTAGGTAACATTATCTTTACATTCCTATGTGTGCTACAGTGCGAAATTTCTGATTTCTGATTCACTTTCCTGTATACAAATCAAGCACCAGTAAATATTTTGGAATAAACAAACGATAGTGACCTTAAGTTATGCCATCTCAAGCCTTAAATTGTCAAACTCGGACCATAAAGGTTCAGGCCCCAAGATACCGAAGATGTGAATCCTAGTGAATATAGCTGACTTTTTACCACAAATATCGGTCAATGTG